AGGGGATGGGGGGGGACCGGAGCCTCTCTGGGGTCAGCCCAAAGCACTCCCCATCTGCTGCAGGGTGTAAAGCAGCCCGCAGGCGAGGCTAGAAGAGACCTGCCTCCACCCCAAGGCCAGAGGGTTTCTTGCAGTGCTGGCTTAGAGGTGTGACCGGTGCAGGGGTCACATCGCCAGTGTCAGCTCTGAGGATCCTTTATCCATGGGGCTGGGGTGGACGGCAAAAAACTGCCCCGTAGAGAGGCAGCAGGGCCCCGGGACACGAGGTTTCCATGCGCTCGGATGCGTGTGTCGTCGGGATGCGTGTGGTTCTTGTTCTGGGTTTTCTTTCTCTCCCACCACCATCTTTCTCAGTGGTGTCCTACAGGTTTTCCCGGTCTCTCTCCTATTCACACGTGGTGTCTTATTTTGCCCTGGGCTGTAGCTAAAACTCAGGATGGTGTGGCCTTAGAGATCCAGCCCCTGAAGAGCCAGGAAGGGGTGGAAAATGAGGAGAAGGAGAAGAAGAAGGTGAAAGTGCCCAAGAAGGAGAAGTCTGTGCTGCAAGGGAAGCTCACTCGTCTGGCAGTCCAGATCGGGAAGGCAGGTGAGTGGTGGTGGCCCTAAAAGAGCTGTCACCCCAGAGCTCTTGCTGGAAGTAGCACAGGGAGAAGGGGTTGTCCCCTTCCCCTGCGTCCCCTCACCTGCTGCTCTGCCTCTTCCCCCAGGGCTGATCATGTCGGCCATCACGGTCATCATCTTGGTGCTGTACTTCGTGATCGACACGTTTGGGGTGCAGGGGCGGCCCTGGCTGGCGGAGTGCACCCCCATTTACATCCAGTACTTTGTCAAGTTCTTCATCATCGGTGTCACCGTGTTGGTGGTGGCTGTGCCTGAAGGGCTCCCGCTGGCGGTCACCATCTCCCTGGCTTACTCTGTGAAGGTGAGACCACGATGCAGCAGGGTTGCTGGGGGCATGATGGGGAAACTCACACTTTTGGTTCTGACCTTCGTGGTCATGGTGCCTGTTGCAGAAAATGATGAAGGACAACAACCTCGTGAGACACCTGGACGCCTGTGAGACCATGGGCAACGCCACCGCCATCTGCTCGGACAAGACGGGCACGCTCACCATGAACCGCATGACCGTGGTGCAGGCCTACTTGGGGGACACCCACTACCGCCAGATCCCCGACCCTGAAGCCATCCTGCCCAAGATCCTGGACCTCATAGTCAACGGTGTTGCCATCAACTCCGCCTACACGTCCAAGATCCTGGTGAGTTGGAGAACCACATCCTCCTGTCCTCTGGCCTTCCCCACCGTTAGCCATCCCTGCAGCTCCCATCCTGCCGTACCCAGGTTTGGCATTGCTTTTCCTTTCCTTTCTCCCCTCCAGCCACCTGAGAAGGAAGGGGGGCTACCTCGGCAAGTGGGGAACAAGACCGAGTGCGCCCTGCTGGGTTTTGTGCTGGACCTGAAGCAGGATTACCAGGCTGTGCGGAACGAAGTGCCAGAGGAGAAGCTCTACAAGGTCTACACCTTCAACTCAGTGCGCAAGTCCATGAGCACGGTGCTGAAGAACGGCAACGGCGGCTTCCGCATGTACAGCAAGGGCGCACGCGAGGACCTCCCGCATGTACAGCAAGGGAGCCTCCGAGATCATCCTCCGCAAGTAACCGTCCTCCCTCCCTACACCAGTCCTCTCCCTGTCCTGTGGGCTTTAGGCTCTCGATGCACTGGGAGCTGTTTTGGAGGGCTGTGGGGTGAAGGGTGCCCAGTCGCTGTGGAGCGGGGAGGTGACTATCGGGAGGTGCTGCCGTGCAAAGTGTTTGACTCTTAGGGTGGCTGTGGTGAAGCTGTAGGGAGCCATGGGTAAGGGGGATGCCCCCGTTTTGCAGATGGGGGAACCTGGGTGACAGGGGGAGCAGATCATTGAGCTGGCGGTGCGTGCCACCACCAGTCTCCCTCACCCTCCATCCCGGTCCTGTGTTAGGTGCACCAGGATCCTGGACAAGAACGGAGACCCTCGGATGTTCAAGGTGAAGGACCGGGATGAGATGGTGAAGAAGGTGATAGAGCCCATGGCCTGCCACGGACTGCGGACCATCTGCCTGGCCTTCCGTGACTTCTCTGCTGATGCGGAGCCGGACTGGGACAGCGAGAACGAGATCCTGTCTGACCTGACCTGCATCGCTGTGGTCGGGATAGAGGACCCTGTGCGGCCAGAGGTACCGAATCCCAGCTCTGCGCTGGCTGTCCTCCACCCCAGCCCCCTTCCTGGGGGCCAGGAGCCCCTTTTCCTGCTGCTCAGGACCACGAGCCCCTTGAGAAAGCACAAGCAACTCCTCTGCATCCATCCCTGAAGTGTCCCACGCTACCAGCTCCCTGCTGCCGGCATTTCTCTCCCATACCTGGACAAAATGACTGGTGGCAGGGTGTTTCCACCCAAACTTTCCCCCTAGCTGCTACCAGGGGTCTGTGCACAAGCCAGACTGGTTCCAGATGCAGTTGAAAGGTGCATGGAGACACCACGTAGGGGTGACAGCAGGGTGTTGGAGAGGGGCAGGGCTGATTTAGCTGGTTCCTCCCTTGCAGCTTGCTGCCCTGCCTCTGCCATGGGGGTGACAGGCAGGCAGCAGGGCTAATGCAATAAGCCCTCCAATACCTGCCTCTTGATTACATTTTGGAGCTTGCCCCTGCGCTCCTGCTTTGCTTGCATCTTTCCTGATTAGATGTTCAGGTATCTGGATCTGGGAATTGCATTACAGATGCCCTGTCTGCACCGGCTCTGGAGGCCGTTGATTCAATTTGCTAATTTCTCACTAAGATCTTCTTCCCCCACCGCTTCATAATAGATAAACCCATTAGTGCAGCAACGTGCAAGGGGGTGGACAAAATGCCCCCGTTGTGATGGATCACAGGGCCGTGCCTTGGTGCCCGGCACCGCGGCATGACGGGGAGGAGGCAGGGAGGTTGCCTTCCCCTTGGGGCAGGGGCTGGAAGATCTCGTGCTGCCTGTGCCGGAGGAGCTGCACCGGACACACAACGCGAGTCTGGCTGGAGCCGTGGCGAGGCTGCGGTGCAGGAGCAGGCGGCCGCGGCAGCAAGCAGGGGCAGGCATCCTCTCCGGTCCCTGGTGGCTTCCCCCTGCACCGCAGGGATAAACGGCTGAGCTGGTTCTGGGGGGCAGTTTTTGGTTCAGCATCTCGTCCCCAGCTCAGCACCGAGCTGAGCCGCCGGTGGATGCAGGTGGGCTGCTGGTCCGTGACCCCACCAGGGCCCTTTCCAGCTCCTTTTAGGGAGGATGGGAGAGGAGCTGTCTGGTTCCCGGGATACCTGGTGCCAAACCCAAGTGCTCTCTCCTGCCCTGCCTGTCCCCCCCCAACTCTATCCCCGTCCCCCAGGTGCCAGACGCCATCCTGAAGTGCCAGCGTGCAGGGATCACCGTCCGGATGGTGACGGGGGATAATATCAACACCGCCCGCGCCATCGCCACCAAGTGTGGCATCCTGCTGCCAGGGGAGGACTTCTTGTGCCTGGAGGGAAAGGAGTTCAACCGGCTCATCCGCAACGAGAAGGGCGAGGTGGGAGAGCAGCCCCTGGGTCCTGCTCTGCAGTGGGTGTGGGTGGCCTCTCCGACAATACCGCTGAGTTTTCCTCCTCTCCTTGGATAAACACAGCTGGTCCCTCCGCTTGCCGGGATCCTCAGCCAGCGCAGCCGCAGGGGTGTCGGTGTTTGGAGGCGAAGGCGCTGTCCTGGTTGGGGTTTGCTGTCCGGTGGGGCCGAAGGTTTCTGGGGGGTCCCTAACCTTTCTCACATGTGCCTTGTCCTGCAGGTGGAACAGGAGCAGCTGGATAAGATCTGGCCCAAGCTGCGTGTGCTGGCCCGCTCCTCCCCGACAGATAAGCACACGCTCGTGAAAGGTGAGTGCCTCCCAGCTCCCCCACTGCTGCCTCTCACCAAAGTGTCTCATTCTGCTCTTCCCCGGGTGCTTTTGCAGCATAATCTGTGCTGGGAGCCTGCCCTTGGGGCTTATTTTCTCTGAACTGCTTGTCCCCATTTCAGGAATTATCGACAGCACTGTTGGTGACCAGAGGCAGGTGGTGGCCGTGACCGGGGATGGGACCAACGATGGCCCAGCTTTGAAGAAAGCCGACGTTGGGTTTGCCATGGTACGGACGGGCGGTGGGTTTTCCCCAGGGGTGGCCTTCGCTCTGCAGGGTGAGAAACTAATGGCATGCTTGGTTATTCTCAACACTGAAATTATTTCTGGACTGGTGAAACTCTGCTCCAAATCTACAGGATGGCTTAAAAAGAAAAAAAGAAATCTTCTTTGGAGGTTTGATTTAATTCGCATGAACTTTATAGGACTCTTAGCAAAAGATTGAAGGGAAGCAATCCTCTGAGAGCCTGGCTTAGGGCTGGGCTCCTCTGTCCCACCCGGACAGACTGTGTCAAGCTGAAGGTGATGTGGTGCTTGCAAGAGCACGCAGAGCAGGTCCTGCCTGGCCCCGATTTCTGAGCTGTGGGGTCCGGCAATGCTGTGGCAGCCCAATAACTCAGCGTGACTTGGTTTATCCCTGCAGTTCTTCACCCAGGCTCTGAGCATGGTGCTGACACTGATTGGGGGAGTTTATTTATGGTGAAGAACTCTGATCTCCTGGTTTGCTGCTTTTCTTTGCCCTGTCTGAAAGAAGCAAGAAAATAAACCTGTCGGTTTTAACGGGTTTCCTGTGAATTGTTTAAGTTTAGGTACATGAGCAGGAGCCAGCTGCTACATGGAGTCTTATGAGCCCATGTAGGGAGCTTTGAGCAAATGAGAAATTTTTTGGGAGTGGGTGTTTTTATGAAGGTGTTAAAGATCCAAGTGCAATTCTGGAGCCTTTAGGATGAGTAGCAGAAGGTAGTCTGACCATACAGTGAGGCTTTCTGCCTCCACGTGCTCCCTGCCAGACCCTGGCCAGGCACTGGGCTTTGCTGGGGGCTAGGCACCGGGGCTGTACCCGCCTTGGGTCTCCAGAGAGCAGGGAACAAACCCCATGTGGGGTACCTTCAGCTGGTTTGTCCACCTTGCTCCGAAGCTCATGCCCTGCAACAGCCAGGGGGTCCCTATCTGAGGCGGGTCTTGCAAATCTCAAGAGAGTTTCTCCAGGAAAGCACCAGGGAACCTGCTCGTTAACGGCATTGCTTCGGTGCATTTAATTACTGCAAAGCGAGCGCCTCTGTGTGCCGGCGGTGAGAAACGCAGCGAGCCCAGAGCAAACTGTGTCCAGCTGAGATGCTGCAGGTGACTTTTGGGAGGCTGCGGGGCTGCCATCCACCTCGGACAGGGCAGAGGACACCAGGAAGGCGCTGGGGCTTCGGGCTGCTGAGCTCATTTTCTCATTTGGGGGTCCCAACCCTCGCTTGCAGCAGAGATGCCCAGCCAGGGATCCCCGTGTTCCCTGGCATAAGGAGGAACCAGCGCTTATAAGCTGTTTTCCAGCTTTGCTGTGCTCTGGCCCCTGTCTGGGGCACTCACAGGCTGTAAAGCTGCGCTGACTCAGAGCCCTGCTCCGGAGCCAAGCTGGTGTCTGTCCTTGAAGGCTTTGCTACTTTGGAGCCTCCTGTCTCTTGGGTGCGTTGGTGCAGCTGCAGCAGGACTCGCTGTCAAACGCAGGACTGGCACCGGCTCCTCTGGCTCCGGCAGATTTTTCTCTCGGGGCTGTTTCTGGAAAGAAAAGCGGAGCCGGGTGGACTGCGAGCGTGGAGCTCGCCCCGTGACTCACCCCATCGCTTTCTCCCTGGTCCTCAAGGGCATCGCAGGCACGGACGTGGCGAAGGAGGCTTCGGACATCATCCTGACGGATGACAACTTCACCAGCATCGTCAAGGCGGTGATGTGGGGACGCAACGTCTACGACAGCATCTCCAAGTTCCTGCAGTTCCAGCTGACCGTGAACATCGTGGCCGTCATCGTGGCCTTCACGGGCGCCTGCATCACGCAGGTACGGGGCCGCTGGGCTCGGCAGGAGGAGAGCAGGGGCTCCTGCAAAACGGGGAGTGAAGAGAGGGAGGTTTTGGTGGTGTGACATGTTCTCCCCGCTCTCTCTGCAGGACTCTCCCCTGAAGGCTGTCCAGATGCTGTGGGTGAACCTCATCATGGACACCTTCGCCTCCTTAGCCCTGGCCACAGAGCCCCCGTCCGAGTCCTTGCTGCTGCGCAAGCCGTACGGCCGCAACAAGCCGCTCATCTCCCGCACCATGATGAAGAACATCCTGGGGCACGCGGTGTACCAGCTAACTATCATTTTCACGCTGCTTTTTGCGGGTGAGCTGTGAGGCCCCAGGAAGTGGCGGGGTGGGAAGGAAAGGGGTAAAGTGCCAGCACTGCCTTGTGAGCCACCTTTCTTCACCAGTGTCGGGGACCCTTGTTCTCAGCTGTCACTCAGTGACCCCATGTTGGCCAGGACAGAGCTTATTTAATAATGGATGGGAAGCAGAGGGGTGTTAAGGGAGAGGATTTACATTGAGGGTGTGGGTCTGCTCAAGACCTTGCTGGATGCAGAGTCAGTTTTAGCCAGGGCAGCAGGTTTTCAACGTTTTTAAGGAAATAAGGGTTGAGTGGGACTAGCACGGGGGACTCCAGCTGGGTCAAGGGATCTTCAGCAAAAGCCTGGGATCCTAATTCCGCCTCCACCAGCGCAGAGCAGAAGTAAGAAGCAGGATCTCATCTTCTCCTCTCTTCCCTGTCCTTCCCCATCCCCTCCCCAAAACCTCTTGTCTGCTTAGGGGAGAAGTTTTTTGACATCGACAGTGGCCGAAACGCCCCGCTCCACTCCCCACCCACCGAGCACTACACCATTGTCTTCAACACCTTTGTCATGATGCAGTTGTTCAATGAGATCAATGCGCGCAAGATCCACGGGGAGAGGAACGTCTTCGAGTCCATCTACCGCAACCCCATCTTCTGCACAGTGGTGCTGGGGACGTTTGCAGCTCAGGTGAGGCTGTGGGAATAAGATGGTGGGGCTGGGGGGGGACCGTGATGCAGGCAGGACCTGTGTCTGCTGCAGTCACTGCTCACAGCTCTGTCCTGTCCGCTTATTCTTCTCCACCAGCTTCTTGGTGACACTAAAACTGAATATTGGGGTCTAGAGTGTGTTGCGAGACGCCAGGAGACGCCAGGGCCGGCCAGCCAGCGTGCCTCTGGTGTCCTGTAAAGTTACTAGCCTAGATGTGAGGTCCTTGCTCCTCTCATGATCCCAGGGAGAGGGGGAAAGATGTGTGGCCATAGGGGACCTTTTCATCCCATGGCTGTGCCACGCAGCCCTTGGAGCTCCCCGGTGTGTGACTTGTTCTCTCCTGTGCTGTAGATCATCATTGTGGAGTTTGGTGGGAAGCCGTTCAGCTGCTCTGGGCTCACCCTGAGCCAGTGGTTCTGGTGTATTTTTATCGGAGTGGGAGAGCTCCTCTGGGGCCAGGTAAGAGCCAGTCTGAAAAACATACCACGTGCCTCCATGCCACGGCTCGCAGCCCAGCCTACCTCTCCCTTCCTGCTGCCTTGCTGCCCTTGTTCTCCCCAGTATTTATTCAAGGCAGCTTTGGAAGGGGGTGATGCTCCATCCCAATACTACACCAGCAGTGAGGCGAGGAGGTTGCTAATCTATTCCTCGTTCCCACCCTGTTTGCAGTGGGGCACTTCCAGCGGTGGCATGTCTCAGCTGCATCCTGGCATCTCTCAGCTGAGTCCTGGCAGCTCGCTGCAGGAACGCTCCCGCTTGGTCAAGGCTGGCGGTGGGCTCCATGCTGCCACAGCCCACAGGCTAAGGAACTGCTCTCTCCCTGCCTCTCCCCAGCTGATCTGCACTGTCCCAACCAGCCACCTGAAGTTCCTGAAGGAAGCTGGGCATGGCATCACCAAGGAGGAGATCCCAGAGGAGGAGCTGCCTGAAGATGTGGATGAGATTGACCACGCTGAAATGGAGCTGCGGCGCGGGCAGATCCTGTGGTTCAGGGGTCTCAACAGGATACAGACACAGGTACTGTGGGGCAGCGGGTACTGTGGGGCTCTTCCTTCTCTCTCTCTTTCTTTCTCTTTCTTTCTCTCCAGGGGCTCTGTCTGGAAAGAGGCAACGGCTGCTGCTCGGAGGATGCCATCGCCTCCTGGGCTAGACCTCTCCCACCGCCTGTGCCTTTCTGGGTCTGCCCTGGTTGGGGAACCAGGACAGCCTGGCTTTCGGGGACAGCTCAGGGCGGGGGGGGAGGCACCGGTCTGTTCTGATGCAGAGCATGGCATCCTGCAGTTCGAGGCCAGGCTGGTCTGCAGGAGGCTGGATGAGCTGCTGATGGGCACCTCTTGGGCAGAGGAGGGGGCTCAGAAGCTGCAGGGGGCCATGGAGCCACCCGAGCTCTTACCAAGTTGTGCAGTGGGTCAGCATTGAAGCTGCTCTCGGTCACTGCTGGGACGCTGCTCCCAGAGGGGAACATGCCCAGGAGGGATCTGCCGGCACGAGACCCTCTCCGGTCTCACTCCTCTGCTGCTCTCTGTCCTTCCCAATGGCCCTTTGGCCAAGGACTCTTGCCACCCCTCCCTGCCAGCTCTCCAGGCTCCTTGCCTGGAGCTCTAGGCCCTGCAGCACAGAAGGGGAGAAGAATCTATCTGTTAATACGGTTTTTGCATCAGGTGTTTCTCCCTGACTCAGTTTTTCCTGAAAGGGTGTTTTTTCCCCCGGACTGCTGGCTGGGCAGGGCAGGGCAGGGAGAGCTCCCTGCAGCGAGGTCGCTGCCCCTTGTCTTTCCTTGAGGCCTGGGCAGAGCTGCCCCATGGAGGAAAGCTGTAGGCCCCCAGTGGTCCCTGGCATTCAGGGCTGCTCTGTTGTCCTTCGTTCCTTTTCCTCTGGCCCTCCAACTAATGGAGATAACCAAAATGGCCCAGACACAGGGACTGGAGTGAGCACAGCAGCTGTGTTGTGCCATGTTAACTTTGCTTCTCCTCTGTGAGATGTTGTCTTGCTGGTTTCAAGGTGAGGTTCAGCCTTGATCCCTGCCCGTTGTGAGCGGTGAGGGGTGGCCGGGCTCTTCTGGGGGCCCAAGGCGGCGCTGGTCGCTGGTGCTGCAGGGCGCTGAGCTGCTGGCTCAGTCTGGCTTATTCACATGAAAGATGTGCTGGGAGCACTGGGCTGTTTCAGAAGCGGACCAGATGTGTTGGAGGCCTGGTAGGCATGAACGGCTGCAGTACCAGCGGCCAGGCATGCCGCTGGGGCCGAGCCCGGAGCCTCCGAGGTATCTCCCTGCAGCTATGGTGGACCTGGGCTGAAACGAGCTCTTGGCCTTGCAACATGAAAAACGCTCCTGGACGTTGGCACATCCTGGAGCCTCTTTAGGGACTACTTTCCTGGCTGTGGTGCCCTGCACGTTGAGCCGAGCAGCTGGCAGGTCCAACACGAGGGCTTCTGTCCCGAGTCAGCACGTCTTAAGTGAGAGCACAGGGCTCTTCCCTGCGGGCCAGCCTGGTGCGCTGGGGAAAAGAGGGTCCCTCCACGGAGGGAGATCAAACTGCAGTGTGTAAAATACCTTCAGGGTGAACTAGAGCTGCACGTGGGTCTGGAGGATGTGTTCCTTCCCCAGGCGCCAAGGCGGGCGAGCTGGGGCGGCGCAGGGCTGTGTGCTCTGCCAGCGGGCTGGCTGGCACAGGGCTGGGGACAGTAAAGCTGCAAAGTGTCTGGGAGGCCACGGTGGCATCCAGATGCTGCTCGGTCCCTCCAGCTTTGGTGTGCATCCAGAGAGCAACTGTAGCCCACCACCAAGGGTGCTTCCTTGCTGCATCCCTGCCTGCCCCTACCAGCTCTGCTTCTGAGCCCCGTGCCGAGCCGTGAGCCTGGGAGAGAGGCTGAAACATCTTCCAGCACGGCCGGCTGCCATGGGAGCTGCGGGCATGTGGTGTGTCCCAGGATTCGGCCCCCCAGCTTTACATCCCATGGGGCTGAGGGACTAGAAACCCTTTCCCAGTGCAGTTTTCTGGACCACCGGCTTCCAGCTCGCACCTCTGCCCACCCTCTCTCTTTCTCTGCTCCTCCTGCAGATTGTCGGGATAACCCAAGGTGTTTCCTCTGTCGCTCCCTCCCACCGCGGTCTCTTTCTTGGTGGTGGGATAAACCCTGTCCCTCTCGCACCTGCGAGAGCAGGGCAGAGGCTGGAAGCCTACCTCTCCTCTGCTCCCAGAAACACCAGCTGAACCCGGTGCGGGTGTACGGGAGCGCGGGGTGGGGGGCCTCTCTCCTCCCTCCTCCCCACCTCTCCGTCCTCCTTCTTCCTTCTTGTCCGTGTGTGTCTGCCCAACATCCCTGCTCCCCTCCATCCCCAACCCCTCTCCCTGTCTCTGGCCGGGGCGACGCTATCTCACTCTCTGGTTCTTTGCAGATGGACGTAGTTTACACATTCCAGACCGGCGCCTCCTCTTTGCAGGGAGCCCTCAGGAGACAGCCTTCCATCGTGAGCCAGCACCACGATGTAAAAAATGTTTCTAGCCCAACCCATGTAGCTCTTTCCTCCGTCAATTCCACTCCCACCACTTCTGCTGTTGCTGCTGCTGCTGCATCTCCTCCTGCGGGCAGTGAGTGATAGTCTATTACAATGCATGACTTCTAATAACCACAGAGAGCACCTGCACCAACCTAACCCAGCCTGTTCTCTCTCTCTCTAAACCTTGACTCGCACACTGATTTCCAAATGAAGGATGGGGCGGGAGAGTGTTTAAAAAAAAAAAAAATAGGTTTTATGCTGTTGCATCTTTAACAAGTTCACGATACTTTCTCGTCCTTCCCCCCCATTCCTTGTTGCTTCCTCTGTTTTTACCTCTTCTCCTCCTTTGCAGGACTGACGTATGAGTCCACCCTCCTGAGGGGTGCAAAAATTGGCAGTTCTTGTTAAAAGAACCTTGTGTTCATGAGCAACTAAAAGCATTGCTGTGAAAAGGGCACGCTGCGCCCAAAAGCTGCCGTTTCTTTCCGATGCGGCTCTGCCCAGCCCCAGGATGCCCCAGAAGGGCAGGGATGGGCAGAGAGGCGTTGCTTTACCGAAGCTGTAAATCTGTTTGGAGACAGAGTGGCCTCTCGGACCTTTCCACAGCAGTTAGTGTGCTACCAGGGGTCAGCTGAGCCGTGGTAACAGGCTGCCTGCATGCTCTCTGCCTCTTGCACACGTGTGAGAAGGGGTGTTTGCTCCCGCCTTGGCTGGGGCGGTGCATGAGAGCAGCCGGTTACCGTGGCTCAGCTGGCCGGTGGTGACGCATCGGAGCTGCTCGGAGCCGCTCACCTGCAGCTCAGCCCGTTGTTTCAGAGCTGGCTTGTAAGCAAGCAGCCTCCCCTGTCCCGCCTGTGAACTTGCATGCCATGCGAGACAGAGCTGAGCAAGCCTGCGCACGTAAGCGTGCCCTTTGCTGCCCTGGAGCTCTGCGGGGACAGCATAGGGCTCCGCTAGTCCCCTGTCATTGCTGCCCCATTGCAGCGGCTCATCGGTGTCCGGCTTGTTCTGCACACGCTGGTTCTCAGTGTATGCAGAGACATGCGACTCTGCATGCAAACGGAGATGGAAAACATGGCCCTGCTGACCATCAGCGGCAAACTTGGATCCTGGATCTAGCTGTGGGTTTCCAGACTGCACCTCTCTGGTGCAGTCCCCCTCTCCGTGTTCATTGTGAGCTGCGTGTACGGGCTTGTGAGCACGTGAGCCTGAATTCTCTCTGCAGGGCTGTGCCAGGCTATGAGTAGGTAGTGTATCTTTCCCGGATAATTGGCTTTTTTATTGCACAGTCATTTTCTGTGTTCTCCTCTTATTAAAGAAATACCCTTGGTGACTTTTTGAATAGCTTTCAGTCTCCATGGTTTATGCACTGTGGGAGAGAAGAGAGAATTTCTGATAATTTTGTTTTCTCTCTATTTAGCCGACACTGATGCTTGAATTTTATTTTGTTTAACCCCAGTGTTTCTGAAGCAGCGCAGTTGCCTTCTGTTCCTGACTGCATCTGTGCACCACCAAGACTTTCTAATCAGACAAAAACCCGCTTAGAGGGGTCTCAGGGTAGTGGGCTTGGGTGGACAAGACCAAAATGCAGGGGTTTTTGCAGTCTGTGGATTAATGTTCTCCCTGATTTGCAGCAAGGAAATAGATAACTTGGATAGCTTGTGCCCTTCCAGGCAGCAAACAACTTTACCAGAAGCTAACCCAGGTCGCTAAGTCTTCCCTCTGTTTTCTGCCTAGACTTCTCTCTTATTTCCCTCTGCCGCTTCCCTTCCCTCTCTCTCAAAGCTCCACTTCCCTCCATACAGATTAATGGTGTCCCTCTGTCTTCCACTGCACTTCTGTGGGATGAGTTCTCCAGGGCTGGACCTCGGCAGCCCCGCCTGCTGTGCCCCTGTTGGGGTGATGGAGGAGAGGGAGGTCTCAGGAATGACCCTCAGGACATGGTTTGCAGAGCTGAGCTGGTGTCCCTTGGGGGTTTTGCCCTGGTTTGAGGGAGCTGAGCAAAGCAAGCCCGGGGTCAGCAGTGGAGCTGATGCTGGCTTCATGCAGAAGATGTAATTTCCATCTCCATGTGAGCAGTGGGGTTTGCCCAGCACATTGCAGTGCTGCAGTGATGATGTGAAATGAGAATAAATTCCAAGCTTGGCGGTTATGCAGGTTGCGAAGGTTTCAGGTGGAGAGGAGACATAAGCCTGACCGTGGGCAGGGAGGGCGGTGGGCTTTCAACTTGTTTGGGGAGGATTTCATTTTTGTTTGCACTGCCTGGCTCATTCAAAACACATTTCCTTGCTGTTAAGTTCCTTTGACAAGGGAACAGCTGAATTAATTTCACAGCAGTTATTGCTGACAGAGATGGTTAAATCAAAGTAAGAATATCTGAGGAAAGCTGCAGCAGAAGTTTATTGGTGGAGCTGAAGGCAGTGATGTGGTAGATAGGGTCTGGACTCACCAATGCTTGAGGTACTGGGGCAGGGAGGGGTTCTGTGAAGCTACTGCTACCTCTGAGCTTTTACTAGACTGACCACCTAGTTGCTTTGACAGTCACCTAGGCTCTCGTTAGCTTGTTTGTGTTGGTTATACTTGGTTTAGTTGGTTTTGCACACTGCATTTCAGGGGTCAGTGCTTTTGTCAGTGCTTGCAGTTGCTGTTCTCAAGATGTTGATGATGTGACAGATTATCAGTCTTGGTAGAAGGTGGTCTCCCTTGTCCTGTGCCTTCACGCTAAACACTGAATTTATCCAGGATCTTACTGTGGTCGTTAGTGCAGCAAACACAGCTCTGAATTTCTGTTCCCAGCTACATAAACTTTCAATTTTTGCAGGCCAGCTGGTGCTCCAGCATCATGGGGGGTACCTGGCCCACGCTCATCTCCTCATGAGTGTCTGTCATCCAGCTCGTGTGTGCGTGCCGGTCCGTGTGTGTGTGCAAGAGCTGGCTTGTTTGTTTCTAGCCGGGATGTGCTGAGCCTGAGCTGGGGGATGCCACATTGCTGCCCCATGTGGTGCAGCACCATCTTTCTGAGCCAGATGGAGAGTGGACTCAGAAGGGCATCCCTCGTGAGAGGGGAACCCTGGAACATCTTGCAGGTAAAATCTCCAGGGTTCCAGGCACAAGACTCTTCTTTGAGTAACTTCTCTGGTCTGGTTTTGTGAGTGCTGTTTGTGCTGAGACCAAAGATCCCTAGGAAGCTCTCGCTGGCTGTGCTGGTTGGTGACTTCCCTCCTAGCCTGTCCCAGACCAAGGTGGACAGTTTAACCCGGCTCATCTCACCAGGAAGAGGGGTGTCGTCTCTGTTCACCCACCAGATCTACAGCCCATTTGCGAAGAAGTGGCAGAAGACACATGTATCTTTATTTGCCTCATCAGCTTGCAAGGGGATATCTGAATCATTCTCCCTCCAGCAGCTCTGCACACTCTCCACTTCCTCGGCCAGCAGCTGGGTGACGGGGAGGCTCTCCAGAGCGTAGCATGGGGATGCTGTGGAGGAGCACCCCTTTTGTGGGATCTGTGGCTCTCCTCCCTTTTGTGCCCCAGCTTCAGTCCGCAGTGACACCATGAGAGCAGGCAGGGGACACGGGTAGGGACTGGGTTCCTTGGGTGTTGGGAGCAGGTGAAGGTAGCTCGTGAGTAGCATGCTGCTTCCATGGGGCAGGAGACGGAGCGGGACAACTGGCACTGCTACGAGGAGGTGTTACCGACTTCCCTGCTGCTGAACAAAGTCTTAGAGTGGTCTGGGGGCAGTTACTTCCGAGAGGAGGAGTTGAGGAGATCTCCTGGTCCCAGATGAATTCTGCTTAACAGAGCAAAGACTTCTATTGCTTCCGTAAAACACACGAGAGCTTGTGCAAGATGCTCGGTCCCTGCTGACAACTTTTGTCAGTAGCTTCCTCCTCTATAAAGGGAGGAGGCAGCCCAGTTCCTGGGTGACTGGGAGGGTGCCATGAGCCAGGAGGGTGCTGGTGTGACCTGCTGCGGCAGGATGGGGGACCTCTGGAGAGAGGCAACGTGCTGGCTCTGGCCTGAAAGAGTCAGCGAGGAGAGCATCAGTGTAAGACACAGTGGAGCAACCCGAGGGATGCTTTGGAGAGCACTGTGTGGTGGGTAGCTCTGGGCTTTGCAGTAAAAGGCAAAGCCATGTGTGTGATTTCACCAGGTCCTCTAAGGCTTGGGAGACCTTCAGCTACTCGGTTGGCTCTGCTTCAAAAGCCCACATATTGCATTGCTCTCCTTCAGTTTATGCCTTTTGACAACTTTCGAGTGATTACGGCCCTGAGTCATCCACAAGAGCTGGAGCGCTCTGCCGCACCCGAGGTGCACATGTTGGTTGTCTGACGTATGCCAGTGTCCGCAGGTTGCTGCCGTGCGGGCGCTGGGGCGAGTGTGACGACAGCACCGGGGTGGAGAGGTCTGCTGCAGCCCCACCACGCTGCCACCTCCTGCCCCTTTGTTTGCTGGATCTGACACTTGTCACCCATCTGACCGAACAACTGTGACTTGGCTGCAAGGGAGAGCAAGAGCTGGAAGGGTTCAAGGCTGGATTTCCAGAGGAACTGGAGGAAGCAGTGAATCTACTGCTAGCCACCATCTGGGCTTGTTTCCAGACCTCTCCCTTCCAGTGCAACGGAGGGAGCAGAGCCGTACCCTGGTTGTCCAAACTGGGCTCTGGATCTCCTGCTTGTAATGTGTTGAGCCTGGCTTTTGGCGGTGCTGACAGCCTGTGGGTTTCACAGGAGCGGTGCGTGGCCAGGCTTTCTAGCAAAGCTTGGGATTGTTTTTCGTGCAGAGCATCCAAAAGAATTAGCTGCCTTTGGAAACCACTGGGTCTTCTTCAGCATGTCGATGCGGGGAAGGATCCAGAGCTCCAGCCCGGGATCCAGGTGGCAGCCGTGTGGGGAAACTCGCACAGATCTGGCTTCCTTCTTGCATGTTTAGCTGGGTCCGGTTTTACCGGTCATGGCATCCACTTGGACCCACTGCTTCACATGGGCTTGAAAAGTTTGTGATGCTTTTTTAAAGCCCATTCCTTTCTATAGGTCTAAAAATGAAATAGAACAAACACACACATCGCTCCCACAGTAGAGTTTTTTGCCTTGAAGTGAACCCACTGTTTGTCTAACCCACCTCTTTTTTGAGTTGTAGTTCTGCTTTTTTGTCCTCGTTTACACACACAGATATGCGTGCGCACACATAATGACAACTAATGCATTTTGGCTTCCATTCATTCAAGTGATCTGGTTTTTTGAGTTTTTTTGTGTCTTTTCTTGCAGCTTCTGAAGTCGCCCCATAGTCGGTTGATTCCCCATCACACACCTAGTGCCTGAGTCTGATCCATGTTGGCCCTCCTAGTTCACCATAGATCTCTCATTTTGACTTAGCTGTCTGTTCAGTGGTGGTGACTGTTGTTGTTGTTGTTGTTGTTGTGCTTTTTGTTTATTGTGTCTTTGTTATGTTATTTTTACTTTCTCCTGGGAGCTCTGGCCTCTCGTAGCCTTTACTAACCCTTCTTTTGTTTATCCCCCACGCTCCTCGCCTCCCGGCAGATCAAAGTGGTGAATGCGTTCCGTAGCTCCTTGTACGAAGGCCTCGAGAAACCCGAATCCAGAAGCTCCATCCATAACTTCATGACTCACCCAGAGTTCATCCTGGAGGAAGATGAGCCTCGAACACCATTCCTTGACGGCGCTGAAGACGACCCCGAGACTGACGGACTCAAAAAGCGAGGTGGGGGTAGCCTGGGTGGATCTACATCCCTCAACAGAAATAACAATGCAGTGGACAGCGATCAAGCTGAGGTCACCGTCCCGGAGCCCGAAAGCCCCTTACACAGCTTGGAGACATCAGTTTGACCTTAGAACTTCGAACCCCACCTCCTCCTCCACCTTCGCCCCTCGCCCTGTGTGATATTGGCACCAGTAACTGATCACACACTGCGGTCACTTCGTGTCAAACTGCTCATACGTATATCATTTTGGTGTTTTGTTTTGGGGGTTTTTTGTTTTGTTTTTTGTTTTTTTTTTTTAAACCATTATTTAGCAGTGGGAACCAGAGTACCACGATGCTGAGTGTTGGGAGAGAGGCTAAACCAAAATTGTGCATCTCCACCCCTGATTTTCAGTGGTACTCGCCCATGTGAAGCAGCCAGGTTATTTCCTCTCCGAGAGTTGGGCTCCATGCGTCTGTAGGGGGTTTTCACTTTGAAAAATGCATGTTCAAAGAAAGTTCAAATTATTGTAGTCTTACATGCACGCTCTCAGCCTGAGGGCTGGGGTGCACTTGTGATTTTATTTTTTTTCCACTTGTGGTTTTTAGGGTTTTCTTCTAATCTTGGGGTTTGTTCTTTGCTTGTGGGATTTGCCCCCAGTAACTTCACAGTGGGAAGTGGGGGAGTTAGCACTCTAGTGCGAAAATTTAAAACTAAACAAAAAAAAAACCAACCCAGCCAGGGGGAAGGTGTTTACTCACAGGTTGATAGATACAGGGATGTACACCAGTCTTCCACCTTGAAAAATGGTACCTAGCCTTTACAGTTCCTCCTCTGTGTGTGCATACACACTTTTCTCTCTCTGTTTCCAAAGCAGTAATTGGTAGACAAGGAACGAAGGTGACTTGGCTGTAACCTTGATGGATGCAAAAGATTTTGATTTTTCTACAAAGCAAGGTGGAGGTGAACTGGCAGTGGAAGGGTGGTGAAGAAAAACCCCATGATTGTGAGAATGGGGCTCCTTCCTGGGGAATCTTAAGAGATGCATCTCTTCTGCTCTTGAACAGCTGTGAAACTTTTGGTGAGAGCCTTGCAAAGGTTTAACGGCTCCTGCCATCAAGAGCAGAGGGACTTCTGTCCAGTCTGGCTTGTCTGTACTGTTGGGTTAAATAATCCTTCAGCCTTGGAGTACAAGCTCCGGTTAACTGCTGAGGAACCCCAGAGGATGCTCCAGCCGTGCCCACCAGCTCTGCGCATCGCTGCTAAAGCGTTAGCAGGCTGAACGGAGAACAAGCATCGGGTTATTGACAGTACAGTGGGTCAACTCCTAGATCATGGAAGGGATGAGTAAGGCTGTCTCTTTAGCCGATGGAAGAGAGGGAGGCTCCATGGCCGGTGGGAGGACCCTTGATTTCCATAGCACTTCTGTAGCTGATTTGCCAGTGGAGGCACTTCCTCGCAGAGGTGGCAGGTTGGTTGGTTGGCTGCAAAGGTGCTGCATGGAGGCTTTGCCTCACTTGCTGCTTTTTTGAAGGTCATCTCTTCACCCTACATCCTGCCTCACCTCGGTCTCTTATAACTATTTGGTGAGTCCTGTTTTTTTGGAGCAGAGGCCTCAGGTGTCCTGGGCAAGTTGGCTCTGAACTGACCCTCTTGTGAAGCCATGGGTCTGCGCAGGAGGTAGGAGTTTGCTTTGCTTGGGCTTAGTTTCTTCCCCGTGGGCTCTTGCTGGTGCACCCCTGGTTACTGGCCCCAGGCAGGCAGGGCTGGAGGAAGCTCTGCTGCCTTCTCTCCTTCATCCTGTTTGGCTTGGTTGGAAGCAGAGAGAACCTGGTTGTAACTGGCTGTACAACATCATCGTCTTTGCCCAGTCTCCATCCCTGGAGGCAGAGAGGTTTTAGCGAGAGGGTGGGCTGGCTGGTTTCTTCTTTTCTTTCCTTTAAGAACGCACAGCAGAATCTCCCGTGCCTTCTCCGAGCACTGCCTGCAGCACCGCCTGCCACGCGAGGGCCCAGTACTTTGCCAAGAAATAAGTGTTCCTTAAACGACAACAGAAACCAAGTGTCTTTGTTTTGTTTCCAGCCCAGCACTGACTCGTCCCTTCCTTGGGGTGGGAGGAGGGAAGGACGAGGTCACCCCATTCCTGCCCCCAGGTAGCTGAGGAAAGGTCCTTCTCCTAGGTCTCCTGCCTCGGTGCTGGCAAAGGGGGTGAAGGCTGGGCTCCATACACTGCCAACAGCAAGAAGAAATTGCCACCACTGCCCATCTCAATTGCAAATTCAGTGTCGAGCCCCCTGCCCGCGCAGACAAACCCGTCACTGCCCTCCCCGTTCCTTCTTCACACGAGCTGAAAAAATACCTTGGGCAGGACCGAGGGGTGGGGGGTGTTTTCTTGGGTTATACACAAGTGGTGACAGGAAAGACAAAAGGGGTGGTTGTGGGGTTTGGTTCTGTACTAAAGGTGACATTGCTTAAAAGATCACTTTTTCTATTTTAAATACTTGCAAAAAAAAAAAAAAAGATGAAAATATGGTGTTCTTACAAGCTTACGTAAATATTTATTAAATACTTTGGGGGGGATACACCGATTTTTCTTTTTTCTTTTGATATTTTTTTTTATTACCTCAGACCTGTTTTAGAAAAAAGAAAAGACTTAAACCAACGAAAACCAACGAAAAACAACAAAAAGCCAACTTTGGAGGCTCTCAAAGTCACTCCCAGAAATCTGTGACTGGCAGGTTGCCATAAGGGTCTGGTTGTTCTTTAGGTGATATATTTTTGTTGTTCTAGTTTCCATATTAGGAGGGGGAGAAATAATTATATATAAATATTATGCAAAAAATATAGTTTTCTTTAGATCAGAAACTGATATTTTTACGTCAGCCATATGTATTTTGTTTAAAGAAAAAAAAAAAATAAATCTTGAGTCCCGCGTCTGCAACGGCGCGTGACTGTGTGACGGCATTTCAAAGTGACAGGTAATTAATTCAGTGTATCAGCGATCGGATGCCAGTCAGCTTCCTTTTCTCCGAGCAGCCATCTTTATACTAGACGTTAGTTGGATGACATAAATGTTTTTTTATATAAATTATGTTGGTATGGCTGGTTGCTTAAAGTATAAACGTTTATTGTGCATACATCTTTTCTGTAAAGTATTTTTTTTTCTATTCAGTTTCAGTGATATACTGGCAGCAGATGACTATTGGGTTAAGTTATTGAGGACATTACAAAAGAGTTGGGGGAGATTGGTGCTCTACGCTGAAAGGCATGGTCGGCGGCACGAACTTCTGGGGACTCTCTGCAACATGCCTTGAAAGAGGGGGAGTTTTTTTTTTTTTTTTTTGCTTTGTTTGAACTGCCACGAGTGTGCACGGGGGAGAGTGCCATGCCAGACAGGAACCGAAGTCATACCTTGTGATACGTGTTAACTTGCCTTGGAATGCTTTGTTATTAAAACACTCTGAACGTAATTTTGCATCCAGTTCTTAATAACAGTAGGGTCTCTGGTGGTGGTGGTGGTTTTCTGTTAAATAAATTGGCGGATTGGTACCAAAGACATTACACCACGTCCTGTGTGCATTGCTGAACAGGCATTTTTAGGCATTTGCATTATGTGATAAGGTTTCCTTTGATTTGCACAGGGGTTATACTTAATTTTCAAAGGTTTTGTGCAATAAGCTTTGAGGAAAATTTTGAAACAATCTCAAGAAGGGAAAAAAAAAAACTAAACCAAATTTTAGCATGGGCAGCCTTTGGCTTTCCCCAGCTGAGGAGTAGATGTCCTGTAGTGCTCAGCCCCTTTAGAAATGCTTCTCGGGGTGACATGATGTTGGGGTGAATGGAAAAGCCCCATCCTAGATCCAGGGAAAGCATTTCCAAGATGCCATTGCCAACTCCTGTTGCCCTCTGTGACTGCAGGGACCAAGCACCTCAAAGAAGAGTCCCTGCAGGCTTTTGTACCTCTCGGGGGAAGGACACATGTACCTGCCTGCCATTGCTCCTCACCGCTGGGTCCGGCTCCTACAAGTTCATCAACCCGTGGAGCATGCAACCTGTAAAATGCCCTCCTGCAAACCCAGCTCTCCCCGGCGGGGCACGGTGACATGGGGGTACTGCTCTCCTGGTCCTGCCCCAAACAGCAAGGCTGTGGGGCAACGCCAGCATGTTTCTTGGCACCTGGCTGTTCTTCTCCAGCATCTCTCTGCCAAGGCTGTCCCCTGCCACCGAGACTGGCTGGTGTCTGGCTGTCCTGCCTCTGATATCCTCCTGCTCAACAAAAAAATACAGTTTTCATTCAGCAAAGCCCATGGCTAAAACTGCCTTTAGTTTATTTCCTCCCCTTAAATAAATATATATATATACAGTATTAAACCAACATTTGTGTGTGTATATATATTTATCCAATGCTCTCACAACAAAACTTTCTTTTGAAGAGGGCACGCAGATCTGAAGGGTTTTTTTTCCAGTAACTAAGTATAATAAGCACTGGTATTTTTGTATAAAAACAGAAAAATACAAAACAAAAGACTGAATATTATGTGGTATGCATGACATTAAAAAAAAATGGTGGTTTCAAAGCAATATGTACCCTGGTGTGTTTGCCATATCCTAGAGTCCAGCTTAAAGTGCACCTGATCTGTATTGCATTTTGATATTAATCTCTATGTACAATGTTTTGCATGTAATTTATATGGTTCTTGGGAGAAAAAAATTTTGAATGAATTGTCATTTGGCTTCTTTTGAAAAAACAGACTCCAAGCAGAGACAATACTCAAAGTGGAAGCGGACAAGTGGTTGAGGGGTGGGGAAGGGGGTACATAGCAAAAAATTAAAGCGTGCCGGGGGAGAAGGGTAATGGTTTTGAATCAATAAAGCTTTGGCTGTTGAGCAGAAACAATGCGCAAGTGCATCCAGAGAATAAAATGTGCCCACATGTAACTGTGACGTCCTCAGTGTGTCCACCAGCTTGTGAAATCAATCCCGCATCCTCTCCTAGCGCTGGATGAACGGCTGGGCTTCCCGTTGGGGCAAGCTGGCACATGAAAGTGGGGCCTGCGGGTTGGAAAGAGGGATGGGGATCAAAAGCACCCCTTAGGCAGTGTGGGTTTTCTCTCTGTGTGAGCCTCACTATTCCATTTCCAAGTA